GGTATCCATTCAGCACAACTATTTGCTGCCTTTTTTGGCAATTCTTGACGTTGAAGCTGCTGGAGGCACAGAAGTGTCCAATAGCGATTATCGTCACCAGTGATCTAACACGTGATCAAAAACAATCAGTGTGTATGTAGACCCATGAGAAACGGAGCTGACTTACTGAACCGAGTCGAAGGGCCTCTGCTCGGTAGCAAGAGTCAAGACCAAATATGTCGGCAACTTTTTCAAATTTTTCCCTATTGTTTGGAGCCATCAGTCGCCTAACAGAAGGAACAGAAGGGTCTGCTGTGCGGAACAGTTCCTGGACCCGGTTCGTAGAACCCCCTTGATGTTGGGAAGGTGAAGTTGAATGGGGGTCTGGTGGGTTGGTAGAACTGGTCTCGTCATCATCATGTCCTTCTCGATGGGTGTCGTTGTTGTCATCTTCTTGCTGATTCTGTTTGTCTTTGTCATCAAACTCTTTCTGTAATTCTTTGTCTTCATCGTCATCTACTTGCTGATCTTTGTTTGGTAATTGATTATTATTGCCATTGTCAACTTCGTTCTCAAACAAATCTTCATCTTCATCTTGCCCTTGATTTTCTTGTGCTTTAACCTCCTTGCTTTTGTGTGACAATCGACTTGCCCCAGGTTTAAGATATAAAGTTAAAGTGAAGCTGTTCTCGAGACTCTGATGAGAATCTTGAGTTGACTGTTCTGCAAAAAGAAGCGTATAGTACGAAATGGATACACTGAAGGCACAGGTACCTCGTTAGACTATAGCTTCTATGCTAGTCAACGACGAGAACTGATCACTAACCTGAAGGCACAGGTACCTCGTTAGACTATAGCTTCTATGCTAGTCAACGACGAGAACTGATCACTAACCTGCGAGCTTGAAGCAAAACGTGAGGAGCACGCGTAAGAGGTTATGAAAATAAAAAGACAAAATTAATTTGATTGATTCTTTTCGACACCCACCTGAAGGCACAGGTACCTCGTTAGACTATAGCTTCTATGCTAGTCAACGACGAGAACTGATCACTAACCTAACAGCACAAATAGATAATAAAGGAAAGATATGTAAAAGATCAGAGAAGAATCTAAGACTTGATAAGAAAGACAAAAATCATCACTACCTGCGAGCTCAAAGCAAAACGTGAGGAGCACGCGTAAGAGGTTATGAAAATAAAAAGACAAAATTGATTTGATCTGAGATGAGGATCACAGTATCAGTAAGACTAAGTAAAGAGACTTGTTGAAAAGAGCTGATTCAGGAAGATGAAATAAGAGGGAACTCACTGATTCTTTTCGACACGAAAAGAAGCAGAAAAAGAGAGGAAAAAGAGAAATACAAAATGAGAACTAATAAACCCAAAAGAATCCATCAGTTACCCCTTGGTTCAACTTTCCGCATAACCCCCTTTGTACATCTAACACTCTTCAACGCTAACCACGCATAACATCTCATCTTCTAGTCTAACCACCTCACTTCACTTCCAACTCATCCAATTACCATAAATGAACATTAACCTATTACCTCCAGTAAATAATGATCTTTGACCAAATAACAAGATAGTATCTAATATCTTAACACACCCCCTCAAAGAGCATTATCCTATAAACCTTAACCCCATAGCTTTTCTAAGATTTGAAAACTGTTCTTTAGGAAGTTGTTTAGTTAAAAGGTCTGCCACCATCAAGTGGGTTGGGCAGTGTTTGATTGCAAGATCACCCTTCTTAACTACTTCTCGAATCCAATGATAGTGTATTTCAATATGCTTAGTTCTAGCATGGAAAATAGATTTTGAAGTCAAGTGAATAGCTCCTAAATTATCACTTTGAAGAACTGTAGGATTTGGATCAGTAAATCCAAAACGTGCCATCATATTACGCAACCAGATTAATTCTTGACCGGCCTCCGTGATCGCGCGGTACTCGGCTTCCGTCGACGACAAAGCCACCGTCGGCTGAAGTCGGCTTCTCCAAGAAATTGGACCACCAGCTAGAACGAAAACATAGCCAGTTGTTGATCGTCGGGTGTTGGCATCTCCAGCCCAGTCAGCATTGCAGTGAGAAACTGGACATTGAAAGCTTCGTTGCCCTGTGACAACCTTGGGCGCGGTACCGGAGTAGACAATACCAATATTGACAGTGTGATTTAAATACCTAAGAACGTGCATGGCCAAATCCCAATGAAGTTTGTTGGGACTTTCGAGATGTTGTGATAAAACCCCGACCGCATGAGCCATATCAGGGCGAGTACATTGTGCCAAATACATCAATGAACCAACCACGCTCCTGTAAGGAAGTTTGGTTAAGGCAAAATCGTGAGCCTCTTCTTCAGTTGATTTCAATAACTTGACATTCGGAGATAAAGGTGTTATAGCCGGTTTTGATTCCAACATATCGAAGCGTTTGAGAACAGTCAAAGCATACTGCTGCTGAGACATGGAGTAAGAGTGTTCATCCACACGTGAAATTTGGATACCTACAACAGTATGAGCCAATCCCAAATCCTCCATCTCCCATTTCGACGAGATTTCCACCTTAAACTTTGCAATGTCATTTCCGGTGATAGCTAGATCATCCACGTGAACATAAACAGCTGTGAATAAGTTTCCAACAGACCGGATGTAAATACAATGGTCTATTTCACATTGATAGAAGCCTATTTCAATGAGAAATCCTTCCACATCGTCTTGCCAAATTTTCAGTGATTGTTTAAAACCATACAGTGACTTCTTCATCCTCCAGACTTTTCCAACAGTTGATTGAGTACGGTAACCTTCAGGAATTTCGACATATAACTCTTCGTGCAAGATTCCGTTAAGAAATGCCGTTACGGCATCCATTTGATGAACTTCCCACCCATGAATTGCCGCTATAGCAATGAGAATACGTAAAGACCCAGGTTTACCTGTCGGTGCGAAAGTTTCACCGTAGTCCTGACCAGGTATTTGGGTATTTCCCATAGCCACAAACCGCGCCTTAAATTTGGTACTCCCATCAACCAAAATCTTCTTCCTGAACACCCACAGACCCCTGATCACATTACGATCTGAAGGACGATCAACTAATAACCAAACACCTTTCTCTCTTAGAGAGTTGAATTCCTTATCACACGCGGCCTTCCACAGCTCTGATTCACTCGACGCCATAGCACGTTTATAAGATTTTGGATCAGGACTATTGGAAAGAACATGAGACAGGTTGCATTCGGGTGGTAGACAAGCAAAGAAAGATTCTGTGATAAAGTCAAACTCAAATTCAGCACTGGAAGAACACATTCCTTTCAGGCTATCGTGGATTTTCTTTGACGACCGGTTTGATCGACGAGGAGGTTCTTGAACCGTCTTTTCTGAAGGTTGAATACCCAAACTATCGGTTGGAGGATCAACAGCTGGCGATGATGGTCTAAGTGTCACGATTTTATCAAGAGAGTCTACCAGGTCATCATCTTCATCGTCGTCAAAGAAGCGTACTCTAACTGAATTTTTTAGAGGTTCAGCAGGAAGTAGAGGGAATTTGGTTGATAAGGTTTGAAAAGGGAACACATCTTCATTGAATGTAGAATGATGTGTAATGTAGATTTTCTTCGAGGATAAATCATAAATTTGATAATTGAAGTTGTCATGCTCAAATCCCACAAGGACGCCTTCAGAACTGACGGGAGAAAACTTAGATTGTCGAAGTTCTTTCCGAATAAGACCAAAAGCTTGGCAACCGAAAACCCGTAAGTGATTGATTGAGGGTTTTCGAAAAAACCATACCTCAAAAGGAGTCTTTCCGTCTTCTAAAGCTGTTGTTATACATTGATTTGTTAGAAAGACAGCTGCGCTACAAGCATAACACCAGAATCTGATTGGTAAAGCCGACTCGAGCATCATCGAACGCGCCCTGGTAACGACTATGCGCATACCGCGTTCAGAGACACCATTCTGTTCCGGTGCATGTCCTGATGTCAAATGGAGAGTAATCCCAAGCTCCTTGAGTTTAGAGCCGAGAAGATTGTTGAGGAATTCGCTTCCACGATCAAGAGTAAACTGTTTGACAAGACAGCCAGTCTGTCTCTCAGCAACAGCGATATACGCCATAAATGCCTCATAAACCTCTTCTTTCGTTTTATCACTTAGAGAGTAGATATGCCGGTACGCAGAATAATCATCACAGAATAAGATAAAATAATTTTCATTGTTAAAACCGGTTGTCCTGATAATACCACTCAAATCTACATGTACATTTTCTAAGAAAGTGCGAGCACGAGGTCTAGTTTTGTTATGAGGTAGTTTAGTATTCTTGGACAAAGAACAGATATCACAGTTTAAGTTTTCATCAAGGTAATCAAATTCCTCTACACTGTCATGCTTTGCCATTAACTTGAGGTATTTGTTGCTGACATGCCCTAATCGATGATGTTGGAGTGATGCAGTGATTTCAGTGACAGAAGTCGAGATTGAGGTTGAAGTAGAGTGTTGTCCACTCACAGGTTCAAGGAGGATAAACATAAGATTGTTGTCCGAGATGAAGCCGTTGAAAATTGCGAGACCATTTAACACCAGAGAGAAGTTTGTGCCGTCGTGGAAAAGTTCTCTAACACCCTGCTTCTTGAGAAGTGCTTGAGCAATGAGGTTTCTTGACAGGTCCGGAACATAGAGACTGTTCTTGAGTTCAAAAGGTGTTTCATCACCTGCCAACAACTTAGCAACTCCTCGACTATGTACAGCCAACGAAATGTCACCACCGGCCAACTTGAGTCGTTTGGAGGCATCATCGATCTTGACAAGAGTGGAAGGATCAAAAAACTTCTTGTCCTTGAACATGTGATGTGTGGCTCCTGTGTCATGTAGAGCCCAATCACGAGACGAAGAAAGTGATGCTGAAACAGATGCGCTTATATCCGGGTCTTCTTCGAATTCTGAAGGCGAGGCGGTGACTTGTTTTCCTCCAGGTTCATCATCGAATTCGACATTGAGAGAAAGAAAAGCCGGACTCGCAGAGGCAGTATTCACGCTCGAGTCGAATACTTTCTTAACTCCTTTGACTTGAGGAGCTTGTGAATGATGAGAAGAAGCGGAATTAGAATTTCCACCCCCAGTTTTTCCTCGTATCTTTGAAAGGAAAGCCAATTGTTTTTTGGCATTCTCTGGTTTTGACCAGCAATTCTTAGCCAGATGAGGTCCAAGACAGTGTTCCGGAGTGCATTCACCAGAGGTTGGCTTTGAAGGACGAACAGAGACGGAATTGACTTCTCGAATAGCCGCACACGTCCATCCATGGCGCTCTTCGTACTTTCGAAGATAAGTTCCGACACCTTCGCGAGTCAAAGGAATTACGGTGTTATGAATATATTCCTTTGTTTCGATTGAAAGTGAAGGAATAGCACCCAACAGCATCCTAGCTGACTGAATGTCTGAAAGTTCGCCCTTTAGGCGATAAAATTCACGAATCAGATTTTCAAACTTATCAACGAAAGAAGTCAGAGAATCGGTCTTGGTAATTTGGCAAGAATAAAGGGCTTTTGTGACAGCCTCGAGTTTATCTTCGGAAACACGGTTGTGGTAGGTTTTAAGAAAGTTCCAGCACATATACGGATCATAAACGATCTCACAAGCATCAGCTGGATCTGTAAGGTGATTTCTTGTTCTGACGTTATTGACGGAATCCAAACGATGCAAGATGAAGGTAGTAAGATTAAAACAAGTCTTTTCGTGTTCTTCATTTGTCAGAGTCGAATTCCGGTAGTCTTTGATCTTAACGTAATGATGGAATTCGAGCGACCGAAAAACTTCCATCAAAGACTGACTCCATTCGATATAGTTGTCATCAGTAAGATTTTCTGATACTTTGTACTTGCTTAACACGTTATTCATAATTTGAGAGTATTTTTGAATCTGATCACCGAACACTCTGGAATTGGTGTTTTCAGACATCTTGTTAGATACAGGTATCTTCGAGGTAGAAGTTCCTGGAGGTACGTCAGATGACAAAGGATTTGATAAATCTTGATGAACCGTTCCAAAGGAATCGGCCGAACTTGAAGTGCTTGAGCCTTCGGTTACAGTTGAGTTATCCTGCGAATCGTCGATTGGATTATCGGCGTGGTCGGAACTCATACAAGCAAATTGGGTCGAAGAGATCGTTGCACTCTCGCTACCATATAAAGTTAAAGTGAAGCTGTTCTCGAGACTCTGATGAGAATCTTGAGTTGACTGTTCTGCAAAAAGAAGCGTATAGTACGAAATGGATACACTGAAGGCACAGGTACCTCGTTAGACTATAGCTTCTATGCTAGTCAACGACGAGAACTGATCACTAACCTGAAGGCACAGGTACCTCGTTAGACTATAGCTTCTATGCTAGTCAACAACGAGAACTGATCACTAACCTGCGAGCTCGAAGCAAAACGTGAGGAGCACGCGTAAGAGGTTATGAAAAAAAAAGACAAAATTGATTTGA